CTGCTGAGTTGTTGGTAGCAGATTACAGGTTAATAAAGTTTTGAAATATGGACTACAGTATGCTAGTATTCGCGAGCGAATTCTAGCATACTGTAGCGAAAGCTTTTTGGCTACGCATACTCAAAAAAGGGGAGACGGGCGGTATTAACGGTTTTGTGTAAACGATCTGCCGCACGCGGCTGTCGCGGACCATTTGCCTCGTTATAAAAGTTCTAGCGTTCTTCATACAATTCAATCGCTATGCGATTATTACTTTTGGCAGGACTCTACTGTTACTTCATTTGCTCCTGCATTTCTTACTTGCTGCTGCATTTTGGCTGCATTCCTTCGCGCGCGGGGTCTCTCTCGCCGCGACGCGACGATTTCGTCCCAAATGCCCTACATCCCCAAAAAAGCAGGCATGGAGGTAGTGTAGTGGCAAGCAGTGCACGACCATGCACCCTGCTCCGTAGTTCGAATTGATGCTCGCCCAGGTCAATCGAGGTTTCCATCCATCCAGGGTACCAGATTCGTCTGGGGATAAAAGCAGTGATTTGGTCTTCTGCTGGTTTTCAAAAGTCGTCGTGTAAGCCATGAACGTCACTATGTTTTTGAGTGAAAGTCGAATGAGCGACTCATTACCAAAACTGATTGACTAACGTCAAAGAACCTATCCTCTACTTGTAAAAATAACTGTGTATAGAGTAGAGGCAGTCCACCTCTCCCAGCTGTGATCATGTTCTAATATAAGCTCCGAAATTAGAAAGCCTAGTAATTGCAAAGTCCAATTTTCAAATTTACAATTGAGCCTGCCACATCAGAGATGTTCAACCTTAGCAAAACTAGCTTTGTAAGTTTCATGGTCAACAAGTGTTATTAGTCTTTTGTTTTTTTCTTCTCTTTTCCATTTTTTTGTAGGTTGTGCAGCCCAAGTACTTGAATGTAATTATATTCGGACCTATTGACCTACGAGAGTCGATCGGCAATATCGTATTAATCTATGAAACTCGTATTTTGTTCATCAAATGACTCTGATTCGCCACCAATGGAGGAAACTTTCTAGCCAGACAGGGACAGTTCACGGACCCCAGTGTAGCAGCTCCATTACCCAGTGACGCGATGTTCCCGTCATTTGCTATTAGTTGAATAGAGCGAAGAGATAAGAGATAGTTGGTCAATTCAAAATTACCTAACAATCCAAAAGGCAAAGAAAACGCATCGGCCTGAACCGCATTCTCTATGAAAGGGTTTCTGCAAAGGAGCTCTCTAGTCAGAGCTCTCTACATGCTATGCTTCTAATGGTACCGCTATTCGTCAGGAATGCCTTCACCGCTTCCAATTATGGTACCATTAGATGGCTGGAAATGTGTAGGGCATAGTATGGCACTTGAGTAGCATCAATCAAGTTGACGTTGATGTTTATTTGTTTATTGAATTCCTAGTACCACCCCTTTATCTAGCATGGTAAATACTCAGACAGGAAGACAGAAGCACGAGAATTCGCGGATCCGCCTCCGTAGTGGTTAAGCACGTGCTCTCGAGCTCGTGAGCACTCATACCTTTCTTTATCACCAACTCTCGTGACTTTGCGGATTAATGAGCGATTTTAGATAAGAATCTCATGGAATGTCACCGTGGANGCATAGTGTGGCACTTGAGTAGCACCAATCAAGTTGTCGTTGATGTTTATTTATTGGTTGAATTCCTAGTACCACCCCCTTATCTAGCATGGTAAATACTCAGACAGGAAGACAGAAGCACGAGAATTCGCGGATCCGCCTAGGTAGTGGTTGAGCACGTGCTCTCGACCTCGTGAGCACTCATACTTTTCTTTATCACCAACTCTCGTGACTTTGCGGATTAATGAGCGATTTTAGATAAGAATCTCATGGAATGTCACCGTGGAAGATTCTCGAACATCTAGTTGTCCGCCAGACCAACCTACAGGCATAGTTCGATGACACTGACGGACGAACTTGCAAGAACAGCTTGAGGAGCTTTCATTGTCTGACCCGGTTTTATCTAACATCTTGATAAGAACCTGCTCGCAAATTGTTCCCAGTTAAAGCTTATTCTTGTGCTAACACATGCTGTTATCAAAATGGAGCCATCGCCGCCTGCAAGTTTTGTTGCCACAAAGTATTACGGTATCAACATACAGGAACAGGGGGTTCAAAGACCGTTTGCAAGGACCGAAGGCACCCTGCGCTACCATAAAATCCATGCTATTATCCATTTTAAAAAAGAATTCCTATTCCGATTCGTGGCCGACCTTAGGACCCATAAGTTTACTGGGAAAGACTAGGGAGCGCCTCCATTCTTAACTGGGGAAGAATGGAATACACTGGGGTTGTTGGTTGTGGAGGAACGTTCTTCCCTGTGGCCACGCTTTGGGTAAAAGGGATAGATATCTAGGAGGATGTACTTCTATGGTGAAGCGATAATCATTCCCAATACAGCTATATTTGGGATAATGTGAGTGAAGGTATAATATTAACGAATGACAGTGTATCTCAATGGGTGGCCCCATCCCATTCTACAAATAACCTTGGCGACCTATCTATAACTTTTTCGAAATCGCAGGAATTGTTTATTTCTTCCTTCTGCTATATTTGGGTTCTAGTACAGTAGCAAACTGCAAACGAACTACAAGCCAGCTCGTGTGAATACGATTAACTAGGCTCCTCATAGCTTCATTATGAATTCAATCCATAATTAATCGATGAAAATATGAGAGCACATTCACATGTTGAATTGGAAGTATTATATCTTTTCAATTACCAGGAGAATCTTCAGAGCACGAACTTGGAGATACTGGCAACCTGTGAGAAAAGTTAAGAGCAATGCAAATGAAGCAGAAGCCGCTGGCCTTACCTCATCGCTCACTTCTTTGGGAATATCCGGGTTGAGCGGTTTCAGGAGTAAGCTTCGCATTTCGAGGACGGATTTCCCTTCGAGCATACCGGCCAGTCGACGTGCACACTCTCGTGCAAGAGGACGAGCATCGAGGAACACACACGCCTGTAACGATCGTCATTCACCTTCGCCGCTTGCTGCTTATTCCTTGCCATATATGGTCAAACAGGGGCTTCCACAGGGGCGTGAGGGGCAGGAAGTCAAGGCAAATGGATTTTCGGCATTCAGTCTTATGAGTTTCGATGCCAGGGATCTAGCATTTGCCCAGCCGACACTTGAGTTTCCGGCGGTCTTTTCAACTTACCGTTTTATAACTCTGCGATTCATTATCTTTCTGAAAGACGGAGAGGGAAATTCGTCGAGGACTGGAGAATTAGCACCTACCAAATCATTTCTTGGGGATTCTACGGGTTACGAGCACCTAACCCCTATCACGGCTTTATTACTATACCAGTTTAGTTCGAAA